GAGAGAGAGAAAAAAGAGAGAAAGTTATAAATTTTGAAAGTGTAATTATTTGTGAAAAAAAATCGATACTAAATATATGTAATGTTTAACTTAAGAGAAAAGGGCAAAGTGGGAAATTTACTCTAATAGGGGAGAATTCTCTAATTTTGAAAGTGGTAAGGGGTCTTTGTAATTATCATGTGTAAAATTATATTCTTTTTTTATAAATGCAACACATTTAATCTATAATATATTAAATATCACATCAAGTGAGAATTATATTTTTTTGCACGATTCTAACCTTACTATACTTCAATAAGAGTAATATTATTCATTCTCAATGGAGATGAAAACACAATTTAAATGGTTTTAAATGATAGATTAAATGAAATGTGAAATTAAATGACTTATTTAATTTCACTTATCATTTAATGACACATTATCGACATGTAAACTGTATTTTCTTCCCCAGTGGGGATGAATAGCATTACTCCTTCAATAATTTCAATAATATATCACTTTTCATTTTTCTATAATTCAATTATTTCCATAATATCTTACTTTTTTATTTTTCAATATGTATTTAATTTATTTAATCATTTAATTACCATTAATATACATGTACATTTGACAGAATCATTCACTTGTGTGCTTTCATTAACGTATGAATTCTCTATTATTAATTCTCAATTAATTAGCATTCACATTCATCGAATTAGTATTCATCTTCAATTATGTATTTCAGTATCATTAATTATAGTTATAAGTTAATTAAATTTCACATATAAGAATGCATTTCATTATTCACGTCCATATATGCTAATTAACATCCAATTTTACCTAATTAGAAATTAAATAAATGATTAGCATCCATTGACACGTATATCTTCTTTGATATTAATTAACATTCTCTCATATTCAATTATTATTTTTACAACACTTATAAAGTATTTCATAATGACGTGCAACACACGTTCAACATTAACTAATCACTACAATATAAAAGAGGCAGAAACTTGGCTGTCACGTGTCGCGATTTCCTGTTGTCGACATAATTCAATTTTTTTTTAAAAAAAAAGTTGCCCTAAATTCATATCAAAGAACACCCTACCTTCTCAAATTTCATATACACCGTAGCCCTAAAACTCTCAACCGCAACCTGCAATTTCTCTTACTCCGAAAGAGAAAACCCGAATTCCCAAATCCTTCCTCGGTGGTGAAAAAACCTCTACTTAAACACAATGCGGCGGAGAGGTGGTGGAGCAAGATTATTGATGTGGATGAGGAGAAAAATCAGATTCTCTTCGCACTGTCAATGATTTTGACAATGTTGCCCACTTTTTCATACCTTTGGTTTCTGTAATGTTCATCAGCCACCTCGGAGACCTCGAGCTCGAAGGCTCAAATCTTGCCAATTCATGGGCAGTATTGTATATGGTTTCGCTCTTATGGTAACTCTCCAAGAGCATAAATTTATTTACTTTTTTATATGAATTGTGAAGATTTCTTTGACTTACTTAATCAAATTTGTATCTCAAAATGTTAGTTGAAAAAAATGTTATTGGTAGTACTGTAATAATAATAATAATAATAAAAATGTGTCCGTGCAGGGTGGAGGACACCGTGTCCGCAAGCGCGGACACCGTGTCCAGGCAGTGCGGACATCGTGCCCGTGTCCTCCACGCTGCATGGACACTCATATTTTATGTTGGGAGATAAAATATTGGATTTTTGGGTTATTTTGACATTTTATTAGAGTAGATTTTTTTATACAAATAAAGTCTCACTTTAATTTTGTCGTTCTGCATATTCATTCGTACGTTCGTTTATGGACCTACTTTTTTCTGTTTAGTTTGCTGATTTGGTTTTTGTTCTACATTATTCTTGTCGGAATTGTGTTCACAGTAGTGGGTGTGGATCATGAATCTATTCAAAAACATTGTGGAGCATGCTTCTTGAAGTAAGTGATTGGTGTGATTGTCTTCTATTTTTTTTTTTCCCAAACATGTTTACATAAATTTATCCTTGTTA